CATATTTAGTGAGACCAACATTGTGTTTTTGCTAGTGCTGGTGGGACACTATACCAACAGCACCCAAGCTTCGTGTTAGCTGGTTCGGGGATCTTTTGAATTCCAAAAGTATCAGTGCTAGCGCGTAGAATTTCATCACATGAATATGAAATCAAATTATGCATGGCCAAAGATAACGCTGTGCGTAGTTTTTGGAATGACGAGTAGAAAACGTGGCTTGGCCATACTAATCTTTACCCACCCTTAGTAATTCCACAGAATGCCCAGGTGGATTGGGTTGCACTCGGGCATTGCACCCCGCGACTTTCACATGGACACATGTTGACTGGCTGATGTCGTCACAAATTCATCCTTTGAAATGCACGTCTGCCACACACTCCCATCCATACTCTTCACCTGCCAAAGATCATCCTGAAATCACACATCTCACAATCATCCGCGTAAAAAAAGATATCATTGCTTTGTGGTTTTCTTCATCATTGAAAATCAGATTACATAGCGCCCTTCACAATGAGACGACCCATGCCCATTCAGAGGTCAAGATGCAAGAAGCGACTCGTCAAATCGACTGTAGAATTTTCCCACATCCGCGCCCAAATGTACCCATTCCCCCCAATCTCCACAACACATATTTAAAATACCATTGCGTGTGGCTTATCACCCTTGCGAAGGCTGAAAGAGCTACCGAGGTAGCTGGCGAGTTCTGGGGTCTTTTTGAGGCTGGAAAGGATGGCCTTGTCGATGGTCTTTTGGTCTGCTGCGCGGCTGGAGGATGGTTGCTTCTTCTGTTTTGATTTGTTAAATTCATGAAATTGTGACATATATCCAGCATGAGATCTTACCTCTGGCTTCTCGCCTTGCTTGAAGAAAGCCTCTTCTGATGCCTTCTTCTCTGACTTCTCTCTAGCAAAGTACTTTGGGTTTGAGAGCTCCTCAATCTTTGCTGAGTCGATACCCTCCAAATCAACCTTGGTAGAGGTGGCGATAACGTAACGGGCGTTGACTCTGCGGATTGGGACACCGTTGACCTTGAATGGGCCGGTAACGAGGAGAACACCTTGGTCGAGTGCCTTCAAGAGAACGACACGCTTGCCACGGAAACGACCGGCGAGGAGGATCAGGACTTTTCCGGGTTCGAGGGATGGTCTAACTTTAGATGGTCTGATGGACTTGCGGACCTGGAGAATTGATTGTTAGTGATGAGGTTCTTTCAACCATAAAACAATGCCTGAAAATGCGATGCAGTGATGTAATATAATGGCGATCTGGTTGATATCAAAATCAAATATATGTCTGCCGATTGCAATTGTAATCGCAAAGTCCCATATATTTGAATCCCGCGCCTCGTTATTTTCCAAATTTGACGATATTCCAACCAAAGCTCTGTCATCTCTTTCAAAAAAAGGGTCCTCTTGTATTTACCTTTCTTGGAGCGGAGACATCCTCTGCCGGGTAGTACTTTTGTGCCTTCTCGTTGGAAACGACCCGGGTCGATTTTCCGAAGGTCTTCTTCTGGGTAGCTTCTGTTGCCGACATCTTGAAGAAGGAACCGTTGGTGGGTAGTTGTCGTAAATTTTGTCGCTGGTCGTTGGCGTAAAAGTCGAGATGTTCTTCCAATACAGAAATTCAAGCAGGGCTAAAACCTGCGGCACTACACTTGGAATTTCAATTCGCTTAATGATTTGTGTATCATGTGATTATAGGATTATCTAAGTTTGGAGAAAGTGTGCCTTTTCCATCAGGCCAAGATATTGATAGCCTTTTTAGCGTCATAATTGGTAGACCCACCCGGACACTTTCATTGCGAAGCTCCGGCCGCCTAGAATGAAGCTTCCCATACTTCATTACGCATTAAAGCTATCCTGTTCAACAAGATACCTGTCACCAAACAGCTTACCAAAACAAACAAGATGTCCATTTCACCAATTATTACTTTCAAGGCGGGGAAGTGTGAAATCGATGTAAGTTTATTCATATCTTTCTGCATTCAAATGCCAAACTAACATCTCTACTTCTACCAGACATCAAGTACTCCTCACAAAGTTAAGCCTGAAGCAACTCCAGGTTATATCTACCTCTGGTCCGAAGATGGTAGGTCATTTAGATATCCCTGGAGATAGGATTCAACTAACTGCTATGAAGATTTAATTCATTTCCAATGGCGAGAAAGAAGCAAACGTATGGATGATGAGGATAACATGGATTTACTTTTACCACCAACCGACGCCATTTTCCAACCATATGATTCCAATCAAACCACTGAACCAACCGCAAAAACCAATGGCCGCATATTCGTTCTGAAATTTTCATCCTCTTCCCAAAGATATCTTTTCTGGATGCAATCAAAACCCCAAGCGCGAAATGGAGATGCAAGTTGGTTTAGTCCCAGGGACTTGAAGATTGGACAAATTGTGAATTCATTGTTACAAGGAGATGAAGTCGACGTCGAACAGGAAATCGCACAAGTCAGAGGAGATGACGGAGGAAATGACGACCAGGACGAAACGATGGAGGACGTTGAAGGTCATGGTGATTCATCCGAACACCAAGGTGGAAGTGGAGGTGCTGGTGCAGGTGCAACTGGTGGTGATGTTAGGGAAGAAGGAGCTAGCTCAAGAGAGGCCGGAGCTGATGGTGGAAGAGCGTAGGTTATTCTCATCCAATTTTTGCAAAGTACCCAAGCATTTACACACGAGGCGTTTGGTTGGTACATTGGAAGATTCAACAATAATCATACCGTATTGTTCTTGTACTTCTAGACAGCTATGTTGCGCATGAATCTTAAAATTTACGAAAACCATACGTTTTAGCCTTCAAGAAGAACCTTGCGCTGACTATGTGAGTAGTGCTGGTTCAGGGCCATCAGATGCTGCCTCAGTTGTTCAAAACTTTCTCAATTCATTGAAGGGTCCTGGGGGAGTTGGCATGCAACAACAATCCCAAAATCAAATGTACACTACTTTACCGGACCTTTTACCAAATACGGTAACCATTTCATCGATCGACGCTGCAACCCCAGCCCAAGTGGATAATCTCCTTAGCTATCTTCCACCAACCATCCTACAACTCGCACAAGAATCCGCATCCTCCCTTGAAGGAATGGCTGATGCAACTTCTGCGACTGCAAACGCTGCTATGGAGGCTTTGAGCTTGGACCAAAAGAAGTCGGTATTGAAGAGAGTAGTTCGAAGTCCACAATTTCATCAGAGCTTAGGAAGTCTGACTATGGCAATTCGTGACGGTGGTTTGCCTAGTATTGCGGATGCGCTGGGAGTTGAGCTAAAGAACAATGGTTTAGTAAAGGGAGGAAGCGTTCCATTAGGAGGTGGTGAGGCAGTTGAGGCATTTGTCGAGGGTGTTAAGAAGTCGGTAGAGAAGAAATGAGCTACATGAGCGTAGATCTTTTTTCCTCAGAGCGGTTTGTAAGATACAAGGGATAGATGTGATGATGAGGTGGCCTAGAAGATGATACCAATTGATGATATGTTACGACCAAAAGAACAGTTTGTATAAGTGAGTACTGTTGCTTGAGAAGATGCCAGGTCAAGGTTAAAGATGAAGCAATGATTCTTCGATGTGTCTTTCATAAAATAAGCAAATGCGTTAGCTAGCACTGACGCTTTTGATAGCTGGTGAAGAAATGACATTGATCATGGTTTGGAGCTGGATAAACACCATCATACTGATGATTCAAGTGGATGTGCTTTATTTGTCTTCTGTCATACTGCTCTTCTCCGTTTGTATACACCACGGCTCACAAACACTGTTGTTCCTGCTTCTAACAATAGTTTTTTTTTCTCTCTCTCTGAACGCATTAATAGCAGTGTTCTTCACTCATTACCACCAAGATGTTTGATCATTGTCCATTTGAGTTCCGAGTGCAGCCAGAAAACATTCTCAGATCTATTCCAGTATTACTGTTCTCATGAAGTTGCCTAGATCAGGGTATCTTGTAATATTCTACAAACTACTATCATCTTCACCTGTCCACTATGACCATTTCCTTCAATGTTTCCCTCCAGTATTCTATTCATGAAACTACCAGATCATGCAGATACCCAGTGCTTGCTACCAGTTGCTGTTTTGTAGATGGTCCTAGTGCTTTTCTATAGCCATAAATATCTTCTATGTGCCGGTTTTGGAGTCTTAGATTCAGACATTCCCTGTTCTCTGTCTCACTAATGGTTGTGATGATTCAATACTGATATATAGAAGCTACAATTCACAGCTACAATTAACACGTACTATCGTATCTTGTGGAAACTGGCCAAGTTACAATGTAAATTTCATATAATACTGATTCTATATTCTACTATCCTAATTAGATACCTTCTATTCCGTCATTGAAGGACTGTCTACAGACAGTTCATGCTTCTCCTAGTCTTTTCCAGTTGACTTTGACAAAATTTCAACAACCTATCAAAGTTTTTAACAGTCATACTTCTGTATCTATATCATTCCATAGAAGTCATTTGTTCAACTATCAGAGGTCAGCCATGCTATCCATTTCTTTTATTAGATTTGGCGAATAGATACTCATTATGTTATTAGAGGTTCAACTTCAACGATCTGGAAGAAATCACCTTTTATAATTGAGAGCTATATATTTTGTTATTTCTCATTTTCGAAAGGATAAATGGTAGTCCCAAGTTCTTCCATCCTCCATAAAGATTCAGGCATTCACTGTATCTTTCTTTATTACCCATCTACCACCATCATCTAGAAGAGCTTCGAGTGAAGTTTATGATGGTGAATATAAAATCAATACAGGTCCTTCGGTATCTTCCACCTCGGAAGCAAAACAAGTTTTTTATTAGCTTAGCGTCTCTATTATTTTCCCACAACGAATATTTAAGGATTCGAAGTTCGAGATCAATTTTGTCCACTCTAAAATTCAACCAACACAACTGAACTTACAACAACCTTTTCTTACCAACACATTTTGCCGTACTCTATCCGACAAGATTTTGAATCACGTTAATCATCCTCACCTTTTCATCATGTCAGGCTCCAGTGATTCTCCTACAATCAGTCACCAAGGCTTGCCTCAAGGTTTGGGAATTGCTTCTAATCAAACCAGTGGTCGTGCTACACCTAGGGATTCCCTTGGTGGTACGAATACAGACTCTAGAGTCAACGATCCTAGAATTGGAGCAAGTCCACAGATGCAGCAACAAGACGGCGCCAACAATCCTAATTTTGGACCAGGAAATAACCCGATGCAACAGCAGATGGGAATCAATATGCTGCACCCACATCAAATCACACAACAGCTAGCTCAGAATGCACAAAGACACTATCATCAATTGGAGCAACATCGAGCACAGCAACAATTACAACAGCAGCAGTATGCGGCTCAACAACAAATGCAGCGAAATCAAGCACAGCAGCAACGACTACAACAACAGCATGTTAACCAGGCGCAAGCATTTCAACCGGTACAAATTCTGCCAAATGATGTTCTCAGCCAAAGCCCGATCGCTACCAGAATGAACGGTGGACAAATCGAACCTGCATTCCAACAACTTCTCAACACAGGTATGGCCATAAACCCCACACAATACATCATGAAGAATGGAAGGCCAAATACCTTTGCTCCTACCGCCCCAACTAACGCACAACCCCGAGTATCTGTTCAACAACCAGAGAATGAGGAGGAGACCAGTTATGAATCCACTCGTCTCAATCTCATTATCAATTCTCCCCTGACTATCACCGGCGATGACAACATAATCACTTTCCACCCGGCCCCACAAGTCCAAAAAATCACAGATGCAATCCTCAAATCTCTACATTCTGCGTCTGAAGGATCACGCGGTATTCCAATGGGCGATGCTGATGGTCAACCTAGGGAAATCAAAGTTGAAATTGGCGCTGCTGTGACGATCAATGGAAAGAATAATATCCTAGGAGAGGAAGCTGTCAAAATCTGGGGACAGAGAGTCAAAGGGGAGGCACTGGCGGCACAGACACAGGCGCAGAGAATGTTGGCACAGGTTCATCTCCAGTCTCAAGCTAACGCGCAGGCTCAAGGACAGGGACAGGGACAGGGACAAGGACAAGGACAAGGACCGAGGAATGGAACAGCAAATATGGAGTCAACTGTGCAAAGAAATGCTCAGCTCGATAGTATCATGAACGCGCGCTTACAAGCTCTTGTGACACAGGGACAGATGCAGAATGAGATGGCGGCGCCGAAACTGGAATTTCCAAGCGCACAGGAAGCATTCCAGAGATATAAAGATGAAGATGAGATTATACGAGCACAAGGCGCTGTATTCTGGAACACGGAACGCCAAGCCAACATCCTCCGACAACAACAGCAAGCCAAAGCACAAGAAGGAAAAACGAAACCGCAAATGGGTATTTTCCCTGCTGGTCCTTCAAAAGATTCTGGCAAGAGAGCTAGAGAATCCAGCGTTGGTCAACATGACGAAGAGGCGAATAAGAAAACGAAGATGGATATGTAGATATCTGATGGATGAGAAGGGTGTATATGGACGAACTCATGTCAACATCAGCACATGGAGAGTTTAAGATACTCATGAACTTTTTCTTTCGAGGTTACTACTGCATGCGGAAGAATTGATGGTGGAGGTGGAGTGGTTGGATATGGGGATTTGTTGATTTTGATACGATTTTTTCTGCGGAGGTTGGGTTATCAATTGTAGTGGCAGGATGGGAGTTGAAAGTTTGCGTTTATTAGAATGCTCTCTCTGGCTCCTCGCTCCGGGTTCATCAGGGTTTGGTCCTTATCTCATATCGTCACAAAAGGATACTAATGTAATTAATGAAAACTGCAATCATAGCAATGGGTATATGGTGGTTCTTCTGGGGTTCTCTTCGAGATAGTATACTATCTTCTAAGAAGGGTTTCAAGAATAGAATGTTTAATAAAGATACTGCAAGACATTCATTCACAACATCTGTCAAATAAAAACTTTCATACACATATTCTTGATCAAACTTCATTAATTGGCCTAAGCTCTCTACTGTACAAAAGTTTCTTCTCGAAAAGTCATTGCTCTATGAAACCGACTTTTCCATCCTTAATCAAACACTTGTCAATGTGCACACCAGAAGTAAATCATTTGTGATCCATATTACCACATCGCTGCGTGATATAAAGCCCCCTGTCTCAGACTCCTAGCAAAAAAAACTTCCCAAAATTCATGAAGATCAAAGTAGATATTTCTATTGAAAGAACAGGCTGGAATTATCTTTATCTGTAATCACTTGAGCGGATGTCTTGTCTGTGAAGATCCTTGGCCCATCGAGGTAGTTTGCGGTCTTTCTCAAACAGGAAGCCACAATTATTACAAAGAGTCTAGAAATTGTTAGTGATAGATATCATAATCAAGACATAAAATCGACTTACTCTTGGTCCAAAAGGCCCATCCCTCACACACCAAACCGATGTTCCCCAGACTTTGCAGTGTGAGCATCTCCAACTATTCCGTTCAAATTCGGTAAGACTACCACCTCCACCATACCCAGTAATGCCGCCAGTATCAGGAGTTCCTCTTCCACCAGGTGTTCCAGATCTACCCAATGGACTAAGACTTCTGAAGCGTCTCTTCTTCTTGCTTCTCTCACCACGACCCATACGTTCTTCTGCCGGTGGTTCATCAAAGTATCCTCTGTTCTCACCTGGCGTTGGAAGACCACCAGCCATCCCGGAATTCGATGAGAATCTAGCAGTTTCTCTCCTCATCCGCCTAATTTGTCTTTCTCTATCGCCTTCTCGCTTCTCGATTTCCTCCTTTGACAAGATCTCAACCTTGGGTTCCCACTCATCTGCTAGGTGCTCATTATCATATCTCCACCCGGCATCCTTACCATGCACAGCATCATTGGGTATTTCTCCCCCATAACCTCCAACCAAACCACCACTTTCACATGCTTCCTTTTTCAATCTCAAAACTGCTTCGTAAATCGCATGTGTCATGGCTGGGACCCATTCACCAGGTAAACCAAGATCTGCGCAGGTTTGTTTTGCGAATATTTCAGCCGTTCCTGGGGGGTGTAGTAATGACCATTCAAACCTGTCTGTGTAGAGATGATTCGAAAGATTGATATTCAAATTAATGATACACCGGTACATATCATCGGGATTATATTCATCGGATTCTGGTGGTATTGAGGTTGCTGTGGCGGTGATTTCTTGCGACTGTGAGGTGGGAGCTTTAGCAGGAGTCGAATAGCCATTAGATTGGCCAATGACATTTCGCATGGGAGTCGCATTTCCACTTGCTGCAGGTGTACTTGAAGCATCTCGAGACGATGGCCCTTGTTTGATGGTGGTGGTCACAGTGCCGTTCGCCGCTGCAGTCTGTTGCGAATGAAAGAGTGGATGAAGAGCCACACCTGCGTATTCTTCAAGCTGTGTACGGATTTGTTTACTGATTTCGGCTGCCATTTGTCCTCTGTTCGGCAAGTCCAGATCTTGTACCATGGTTTGCGCGAATTGATCGGTGGTTGTCAATGTCTCGTGTAAATTCCACAGAAATACATCCTTCAGGCGATATGGGACCGTCGTCTCTTGTGGTTTATATGCCGGTAGAGAGGTATCAATCGAAGGGTAAGATACTTGAATGTTTACAGGCACGGGCAAAGGCGCAGGGGGTGTGAAGGAAGGGATATCAAGGTCGATTCGAATCGGGATTAACGTTAAAGGTAATGCGATTTGTGCATAATTTTGCATGTCGATTTTTCCTGGGCGTTGCTTGCCCATCCAATCTCTCCAAATACCTTGAATTTCCACTGGCGCAGTAGCTTCTTTGCCAACCTTTTCTGCGGGGTCTTGTTTTGCCTGTCCAATATCTTCCCTTCGTAAACTCCTTAAGCCTGTAGGCCTTCTCTTGTTTTCATCATCATCATCCTCCTCGAATTCATATCCATCCTCTGCATAATTTATTGCTGTGGTTCCTCTTTTCGTTGTTCTACCGAGTGGTGTCGCGACAGCTGCTGTTGGCTGTATGACTGGGGTAAGCAACGAATTGGCATATGTGCGCAATCGCGGAGCATAACTCGAAATGAAAGATTGAGGGGGATTGCGAGTCGTCATGTTGATGTGGGATTATCGAATAGGAAGTACTAATTCAATCAATCGTGTCTTGGACCTTGCGAAAGAATGATACAAATTTTGAAAACAGCTCAAAAGCGTCTTAAAACAGACTGCTCATTTAGGCGATCATAACCATAGGAATTGCGCAGTCTCGAAGTATTATATGGTGTTTTCGACAGATCGTTGACTACGTAGTATATTTCAGAACGCGTCGCGAGAATATCCCATTGTCAGTTTGGAAACCACAAGCACTTTGGACCTAAAGTTTTAGAGACCCGGCTAGTCCCGACTCGGTTAGCGTCTACGCTCACACGAATTCACCTCATCCATTTCTATTTTCTTGGTTCTGATTGCCATTTGAGTGTTATATTATGAGAAACAATGCTATAATATTTTACACATCACGATTCTGTTGGAAGGTAGCTCCTGCACAGCATGTATTTATCCTGCATATTTGAAGAGCTGGAATTTACCATAAATTTGGTCGTGTTGCGTCTTGAAAGTTATCCCAGCACCCATAGAAAGCTATAGGTTTTGATCGTGGCCGGTATCATGAGGATATCAAGCATCTCGTTGAGATTGCTAGTCATATGAACATTGTTGTTATGAATCACATTGCAATTAACTCACTTATCTACTTTATTGCTAACCGTCGTCATTACCGAATCCCATTATTGCCTCACGTCACCCCTTATTCAACCCAATTCTAATGTCAAACATTTATCATCCTCACTCGGCAAGGATAATGGGCACTCGGGTGTGCCGCAGCTTCTTCAATCTGATATGCTCTCTCTCCTCTATGAGTTTGTGGGCCTTTCTTCTTATGAGACCTATCCCATTCTTCATATGCATCCTCAAACACAAATTCTCGTACAGTGCAGGCCAACAAAACCCTCAACTCCATCATGACTAGTCCCTGGGCAATGCAGTTTCTTGGGCCATATTCGAACGGTCTCCATGCACCTTTCACAGGGTATAGCTCATGGCCTGGGTCTACCAGCCATCGTTCTGGAAGAAATTCTTCAGGTCTAACCCAGTACTTCGGTGCGCGGTGCATCCCTACATGATCAATGAAGCAGACTGCACCATTGGTAGGACATGCAGTGCCCTGATCATCATAAAGAGTCACACCTGGATATCCTTGTCTGGAACTTGACGCGGCAGGAAAAAGTCGAAGCGTTTCCTTGATGACAGCTGTTGTGTAAGGCAAATCATTTGCGAGATGTGGTTTGGTTTTCAAAAGCTCGCTTGCTCCATCGATCTGTTTTCCAAAAACAAGATCATGTTCTTCTCTGACTTTTCGCATCGGCTCGACATTTTTCGAGAGTAAATGGTAGATATAGCAGATTGTACTACTGAGTGAGTCATGACCCGAGAAAACAAATAAGCGGATTTGCCTAATCGCGAATGCCTTGAAATCAGGGTCTAGTTTGTCAGGCTTGACATCGGCGTCGGGGGCGATTTCTGCTTGCAAAATGAGATCAATAATAGCTTTGCTGCGTGAATCCTTGGAGTCGGCTTTGTATTCCGCATATCTTCGATCTAGCTCTGCACTAATATATGCATCCATCTTTCTTCCGTTAGACCATTCCATATACCATCGTGCTACATTTATGCGGCTGAAGGGGTCGATAGCTGCGGCAGGCTCATGCCAGCGAATTTGGCTAATCATAGAGTCTGCAAGAACATTGTACCCGCGTTGAGCATGAAATTCGGTGTTCCTAATAAGTTTAGCCCCGCTCGGTAATAAAAAGAGGAGAAAGAGACGCACATGATTGTCTTTCCAATTAGATCCATAGTGAAACGCAGAGTCGTGGTATCCAGATAGAACATATCGCTCTTTTCGGCGTGCTCTCTATCATAATATCCAATAATTAGCAATTTGGAGCCAGAGACAGGTTGAAAGACGAAGAATGCATCAGAGAATACAAAGTACTCAGCGAGCCAAACAAACAGAGGTAGATATCGGATGACAATGAAGAAAGAAATCAATGATATACCTTAAAATATCCTTATAAACTTCGATCTGCTTGACCATCTCCGGGACCAGCTTCTGGAAATGTTCATTATTAAACGCCTTATTGAATACAGCGCGCCACGGTCTCCATGCTTCTTCGGGCATATCGAAGAGACAGGGGCCTCCCGCGATTGGCTTGAAAAAGCGTGGCAAAAGGTCAACTTTGCGCGCGGCGATTAGAGTATTGGTCTGCGTTACAGAGATGGCAGTCGTGGGAGAGTGGATGCACATGAAGAGTCCAGTCATGGGCCAGAGATCCATATAATATACGCCTGTAGACTCAAAATAGTCGCGGTAGATCTCGCCGAACATATATTGGTAGTGAGCATCTTTTGGAAGGCGCCTGGACATTTTCCCAAGTAGGAGAAGGTGGCCAAAGAGGAAGGAATGTCCAGGTGCTACGGGCTGCAAATGTTGTTAGTTGACGTTCGTAAAGAAGGGATGAAAAACTTACGCAGCCTTGCTTCTGAAGCTTTACCATGAGCATCCGCGCTGCATAGAGTCGTGTGAAGAAATAGCCCAGCAAAGTTACTCCTACGACTGAGACAGCCGTAAAGATTGGCTTGGCCTGGAAAACATCCATGATGGCGTGAAGATTGACTGTTTGTATGTTTGTTTGTTGTTTGTAAAGATTTGATTCTAACTGTCGAGATATCAAACGATGGTACGTCGAACCGAGAATTCACTACTGCCTCAAAGCCACATGATACAACGCACAAGCAGTGAGATTGGTAGATCCATCCATGAATAGTTATGCTTGAAAAGGCTTTAAAGGGGCGCAGCAATGTAAGTGACGGCCGAGTGAGGTTCTTGGTGCTCCAGCTGCCCAGGTGCAAAGAGGTACTTCATTCTTGACAACGATGGCGAGATATTAGTCGCCAACTGCTACAAAATGTAGCGATTTAAGATTGGATCACCTACGGAAGTAGGCAAAATACAAATGCAATTTCGATATGCATGGAAACCTATTGGAAAGCAATACTTTCCAAGCATTTGTTTGTCATTGGGGGGGGGGGGGGGGGGGGGGTTAGTCTATTGAGGTATTATAAAGTAACCCCAGAGGCCCGTGCCCTATGAATTCGCCTATCAGCATCGATCGACAGGGGGCGCGAAGTCCATCTACTTGACTACTAGAGTCGGTATCATGATAATAACTAAGACATGTGGGATTACCAATCACTAAAAATAAATGAATATTCAACTCGTATCAACTTTCAATTCTAAACTTTTCGATTAATTAATCTAGGTAGTCCTTGGTGAAACTGATCCAAGCTCATTACAGTAAACAGCAGTTATTTGGTACTTCTATTAGTACAATCCTAAGTAACTCGGTGAGGCTGTAGTGCTAGCGCCGGTACCTAATAGTCGGCTACTACTTATTTAAAGGCTAAACTAGTCGTTTTTAATTAACCTTATATCAATAATCCCGGTCCGTGCCGCCCCCTGATTTTGTACAGCGGTCGTTTGTTACCCTGTGTTTTCAGATATTGTCTTACTCCATATTTCGGATGAAATCGTTCCGTAATAAACCTTGAACCGTCTGATGAATCCCGATAGGTGATCCTCAACTTTGTCTTCACACACACTGATCGTCTGAAGGATTATGGTTATAAATAGGACAAAATGACTGTTTTTGGTGTGGTTTTTGAGTGCGACGAACAGCTGTGCCAGATTAGCACTTATGCGGCTTACTTTGTTTGAAGATTACGCCACTATACTGCCGCGAAGATGGTGGGTATTTTACAACCCTGATAACGCAATATTCATCTGCAGATTCTGACTTTTGAAGCACTGCAGCAGAAGGCTAATGGCACGTATACCACCTCAGTTTCTTGGACTGTTCAATTTCGGGCTTCTTTTGCACAAATGATAACCAAGCGTCAAAGTCTGGTGGTGCACCATTTCAGACTTCCAAGAATATGTCAATATACCACGCCGTTGCCTTACTTCGAAGGTGGTGTGTAAGATTGAAACATAAACCTTCGTGGGGCCAATAGAGAAATGAGGCTCTAGAATACAGAAAGGGGGGCTAAAAATAGCTAGCGGGCTACTCCGATGGAAGATTTGAAGGCGCCTTGACTTCAAAAGAGCTCCACGTTTAGTTATGCCTCTCAATATTCTATCAGACATTCGTTTCTCAGAAGAAACCCAGAGTCCAGTCAAAAGTCACAAAAATCCACCATGAAGGTTACACAACAAACTTTTGCATTGTTGAGCATTGTCTCTTTAGTTACCGCTCAATTGCCCTCTTGCGCTGTAAGGTATTTTCTAGTCAGCTATACTCCAGCCATTACTGACATTTATTTACAGCAAAGCTGTCTATCTAGTTTGCCGTCACAGTGCGGTCAGACCGATATTAGCTGCATCTGCGCTGACAGCTCGTTCTCCCAAAACATAGGTTGTTGTTCGTTGTTCAAATGCGACACGGCCGATTTTAGTTGTATGTAGAATATTCAATGCTTCTTCAAATCGCAAAGTTTCTAACACGCTGCTTAGCGGTTATCTCGTTTGCGGTGAATTTGTGCTCGGGGTAATAAGTACACATAGTTCCACTTTACAAGGAATTCTTACCCATAGACGTTCACAGGGCGGGGATCTCCATCGCTAGTACACTTCCATCTTGTCCCTCATCTACTAGTGGGGCTCCCTCTGGTTCGAATGTCATTCCCACCACAGATGCCAGAACAACGAGCGCAAGTCCATGTAAGACCCCCCAATACAAATTTCTGATACTTATGACGTGCAACAACTTAATTTGATTAGCTACCACTTCTTCTGTTGCCACTTCAACTGATGCCACTACCTCACTGTCTGCTGGGGCTAAGAATCAGCAACTGCAATCTAGACTTCAGGCTGGTGGAGCCATTTTTGCCATTCTAGTGTGGAATCTCCTTTGAAAGAGGAACAGCGACACATCAAGCATGCACGCGATATGGGGTTGGGGGTAATTCCAGAACATAGCTCAAAGTCATAGAGAGAATTCATCACATCGACTATTTCCACTGGGTAGTTATGACACGAATCAATTATGTCGCAAATTGAGCAGGTATTTTATATGAGTCACATGTACTCTATTCTACTTTGACATCACCAGCTTCGATTAAACAGTGATACCCACCTGTGAGGTCAATGATTGTGAATAAAACTACACAAACATACATGGAAAATTTTGAACATAAGCAAAAGTACTCGATGTTTACACATAAAGAATTTCGGGTAACATACAAGCACAGCGCTTTGATCCATTGCCTTCATTTCCTCTACTAAGAGCCAACTCATGTACATTGATTTCATCAACTACCCGTTAAGATTGAAGATTGCTATTCTTCTTCGCGACTTCCTGACATCAAGTGTCCTCATCATGGCATTCCCAATGAGCCCCACAGAACGGCAATATCGCTGAGTGAACCACTTCAACCCATAGCCATGGAACACATTGTGCTCACTTGTGCTGATACCCAAACTCAGCTGAGCATCCAATTCTTCCCTCGCAAAATCCAGGTTGCTTGCTGATTGTTGAAAAGTTGAGCCATTTACTCTGTTTATGTGTTCGAATTCCGTGGCTGATCGGTGTTAGTATAGCTAATTAGGACTCGAATGTGACACTTACAATTATTCTTTATTGGAATAGAAATTCCTCATTCTTTGACGGGAAAAAGAGCATAAAACTCTTCCTCGTCATAACCATCGATGTCTTCGTTCCTGACTTCCACGAAATCTTTGGGTATGAGGAAATATGTAACCATTTTAGAGAATAGAAATGGTAGGGCGAAAAATCCAAAAAGTGCCAGGACTCTGATAAGCATGACTATGTATACTCCGATGTCCTGTCTCTGGAGAGCGAGACAACTGATGAGACCAAATCCGACTTTCATTGATGCACTAAACTTATGCGAGGCTAAATTGTCTATTGCTGTCAACACGACTGAAGGACATTAGTGATTAGGGTTTAATAACCATCAAGTCCGAGAGTTGTAGAGAGAATAGCGAGCACTGTGAATGAACTTTTTCTGTATAGCCCTTGATACGTCGAGGTATGGAGGAGGCTTAGATTCTGATACTCCGGACCGTTGGCTGATGCGAAAGTTTACTACGGCATAACTAGGATGTTAGTGAAAAGCAGTTTCTTGGCAGGGGTATGAAAACAGTATTTGTCTGCCAACAACAGTACACACATTACAAGAATTTTTTTAGCGTTTCGACGCCTAAGATATTAATAACTCATGTCAAGTATCTCGAAATTTATATCTTTTTGGAAGCGCTAATGAGGCGTAGATGCGCGTGTGATTATATTTACTTTTTCACTGAGATGAAACTTTAGCTTACCTGCCTAGGTAGCCTAAAAAGTTTTTGGTGCGTTAAAAAAGAGAACTGGTCTGAACGTATTGATTTTGAAGTATTAATGAGGCGTAGTGAATGAGATGGGCACAGTGTGTATGCATCTCGCTATAAATTGAAGTGGCCATGGGTCTGCACTAATGGACTCATGCTCGCAATGTTGTCGTGCGACCCTACATCAATATGCCTGCACTATGATAGGTAGATGAAAATGATCTCATTGCGCCCCGTGTAACAGCGTTTATGATTTGACATTACCTATATATACGATACTAGTTCGGTCAGGACGGTGATTGGATTAAGTGCCAGTTGAGATGTATGTTGGTGTAGCACTCAACCATAGATGAAGAGTTTCAAGTTCGGTCAAAACTAAAAAAATAAGCGTACTGCAGAATGCATACACGAACTAATGCCTGACTTATTACGAAATTGGTGGGTGTCAGAAAATCTTTATGTAAGTCTGACGTATGTCTGAAAACTGTTAGTGAGGTGGAGTTATGGAATGTTCCAAGGTTTCCAGAACTATCTTCACTGCAGACCTGCAGCGTGGCTCGTAGACGATATTGGAGGAGGGAAATTCGGATAAAATTATCCTGTCAGCATGCAGCGGGGTACATGAAAGATGAAGAAATTCCTAGGTACTTGCTGCACACCCTTTTCTATGTACCAAGATATGATAGATGGTCAGAGTCGCCACAACGGCCACTTGATCGGTAGTACTCGGTGACGACCGCGTCAGCCCCCAACGAGTGGACATAGATTTGGCTATGATGCAAAATATGAAGAGCCGATATAGGCCCCATAACGTATGGCGCTTTGGTGATGTCAAAAGGAAGAAACCGTGAGCATCAGTTATGTCTATGTTCCCCCATTATCGTGCTCACATAACGTGAAGGTCTCTGAAGATCTGAGAAACCAATCTTTTAGCAACTACTCCGACAAGTTCAACGCTTTGAACAACGGCTTTCGAGATGGGTCTATCGCAATTTGATCATATGGGTCGAATCCATAAGCAACAGTTGTTCGTAAGATTGCACCTTCGTCTGAATTGAGCACAAGCTGATGGAAAAGGCGTCAACCTTAGCACTCTACATACTCGCAATCACTGCTGCTATCATTCGCTTCTACATACGCATTAGAATTCAAAAACAGTTTGCTATAGACGATGCTCTTATTATAGTCGGCATCCTCTGCATCACAGCGTCTATCGGCCTCCTTTTCAATTACATTGATAACCTTTTTATGGCCGAAGCCTTGATACTGGGAACCTCTGAGATATACACCCAACTTCCCAAGGACTTTATTCAGCGTGTTTATGATTATTCGGAGCGTTCGACAATAAGCCTCATGTGTGCTTGGGGCGCAATAGTGAGCGTCAAGTTTAGCTTTCTTTTCTTCTTCAAGAAATTGATTGATAGAATCAAGAGTATGACTCGGTATTGGTGGGTGGTCTTTGTGCTTAACTTGATAATTGCGGGATATGGAATGGCGATATACATTTTGGCTTGCCCGCATTACAACAATCCCTAAGTTTGTGAGTCTCCTGGCTGCCATCTCTAAGATGCTTGCTAATTTACTGAATACAGTACAATGTGGCTGCACACAACAAATTTCGAAGGAAACTTTTTCTTCGAAATACGATCCTTTTGTGATCGATTTAGATCATAATTATTAAACCAAATTGATTGCAATTGCCCCCAAGTGATTCTGATCAGTAGTTGTTATGATATTATTATCGGTATTCCAAACACAAAACGTATACAAAAATTTGTATAAAATTTCATTTCAAATTATCAAAATAAGAATAAGATTCTTAATATAAATTATCTCAATAATCTATCAATACTTGGGGATACAGTTATGATGGAGACTTTTCCTAAAGCCTTCATTATATCAAACACTTATTCTATTATTATTCTAGATACCCCAATACCTTTAAGCTCTTCTTTGCCTTCTAAAAACCCTTAATTCGAATCTCTAGCTCTATTCTATCAATCAATCAGTCAATCAGTTCTAAAAGAAGAGTTGAAGAGTTTAATTTATTTAATAACTTCTTTATTACTCAAGATACAACTAATACTATCTATATATTCAATTAGAATAAGAAACGGGACCCTACAATATCCTTTAGTAATCAAAACAAACAATCTAGAATCCAAAACAACCCAAATATACTCAAGGAAGCTATTTTGAAAGCTAGAGACCTTATAATGCTAGCTTCCTCTCTCTTTCAATCACGTGAAGAACAATCTAAGCTTTTAGATCTCCTAGAGATCTTTAGAGAATATATTGAAAAGAGGAAGCTTACTACAGCTTCTAATATCATCACCTCTCAAATCACCCATTTGGAAACTACTATACACAAAATCGAATCACAAGCGAAAGTATTAGCTAAACCTCTTTTGCTTATTACTACTACTATCATTACATTGAAATCAATATACACTAATATTTCAAAAAAAGAAGAATAGAATTTAGTTTCTAAAAAAAAAAACATTACATCTACTAATATAGAAAAGAAATCTAATCTCATTCAAAAACGAATTATCTTAATCAAGTCAGATTTTCCAAACCCTATCTCCTTTTTCCCTTTAATTATCCAAAACAAAATAAATAAAGCCTTTCAAAAAATCGGAATCAAAGGGCTAGTTATTGTAGCAGTAACTATATCCTTCAATAATAATATCATTATTACAACAAATAATCCCTTTACATTACAATTCTTATTGGAAAAAAAAGCGATTTGGAGTAATATTATCAAATTCGAAAGAATCCAAAAGGATCAAAAATAGTACAAAGTCATTATTCACAAAATCCCAATTAAAGAATTCTTAAATACAAAAGGAATGGATCTTATACTCAACAAAATCAAAACCTTCAATTCAGACTTCAAGCCTATAGAAACTCCTTTTTGGCTTACACCCACCTTCAAAAGAGCTTATCAACGAAAGGGTACTATTGTTATTACTTTTGCTACAAAATCAAAAGCAGAATTAGCTATTCGAAAGCGATTATATATTACTAAAAGTAATATAAAAGTAGAACAATTCTACAAATCAAAACCAACTATATAATATCAGAAATATCAAGGATTTGGGCATCAGGATGCTTATTATAAAAGGAACCCTTCCTATGGATTATATGGAGGCAAGTATATTACATTAATATACTTGTATATGGTATATAATATCAAAGAAAAGTTCTATTAATACTTAGAAGTAAAATGCTCAAATTGCTAAGAGAATTATATAGCAAATTCGAAAACATACGAAATCTATTAGGCTATTCAACAAAAATCGAATATTACTTATTAATAAGTTATACTAATATTCGAATCCTTCAAATAAATCTCAATCAAAGTTTACAAGCTACAGAGAACATTCTATAGCTTGTAATAGAACTTAATATTGACCTTATTATAATTCAAGAATCATAAATTATTAAAAACGAAATTGATTATTCAAATTCAAGATCTATTATATACTCCAATTTCACATAAACATTACCAAGACTCAATCCTAATTACCAGCTATATACACTACTATACACATCAAAAACTCTTTAAGCTACAATCAATCTAGCTTCCGATTCTCCAATAGATTCTGATATACAGATTTTCAATTATTAAAATGGAAATAAAATCTTTCAAATCATTAATATATATAATAAAACTAATTAAGCTAAAAAGAAAGATTTCACAATCAAAAGGTGCTTGTATAATATATCTATCACACAAGAAACCATCCTTTTAGGCGACTTCAATGCCCATCACCCATAATGGGATCCTTTTTCAAAGAAAAGCAGAAACGCTAATCAATTAGCTGAATGATTTGAAGATCAGAATCTCATTCTTTTAAACAAACCCGGAATCAGTACTTTCTATCAAACTAATCTCCGTAATCCAAATGTTCTTGATCTAATACTAGCATTAGAGGGAATCTCTCCTCAAATTCACAATTAACAAACGCTTTCAGATACAGAATCTGATTATACAGGAATACTATTCGAATTAAAAGGAAAAGAAGATCTAAGTATTTCTAATACTGGATTGATAGCTAGATACAATATTAAGCTAGCGAATTAGGAAAAGTTCGAATCAATACTCAAATCGGAATTCTTATATTCCCCTATTCTGTCTAATTTAGAATTAATTATTCCAACCAAAAGGATTCCTTAAACCTTTTGAAAGACAAAGACAATTACTATCTAACTCTAGATCAAGTAGTAAGCGAACTTACTAGGATTATTCAAAAAGTAATAGAAAGATGTATACCTAAAATTGTTTTAATCAAAAGGACTAAACCATAATGGATACCTGAATTGAAAGATCTCCGAAAAGAGCTAGGAAAAGCAAAACAAAGAATTGAATCAGATCTGGAGAATTATAGCTCTAAGGGAAGATATCGAATTGCTAGAAACAAATACTTTCAAACTATTAAAATAGTAAAGAAGAATCATTGAAATAAGTTTCTAGAAAAGGAGTATATAAAGACAATTTTCAAAGTAATAATTTATACTAAAAACTTTCAAGATTAAAGGATACCGGATATTATAATAAAAAGCTCTTTTAAAGGAAAATGCTCTGCTTTCAGATTAACTCTATTCCCACCCCCTCCTATTACCCCAAAACCACAATGGAAAGGGTATAAACAATTCAAGCAATAGGAATGGCCTAATCTCATTCAAATCGAATTAAGCAATGCCTGTTTAGCCAAAATCCAAGGAAAAACCTCTGGCCTAGATGGAATCACTCAAGAGATTATTATAAAGGTATACAAAGCAATCTCATAAACCTTTTTTACTCTCTTTAATAAACTTATTAATCTAGGATATCACCCGAAATGTTGAAAACAAGCCATAGAAGCTATTCTGAAGAAAGCTTTCAAACCAGATTATTCCCTTTTAAAAGCATATAGAATAATTGCACTCTTAAATTGCCTGGATAAAATAAGCAAAAGGATTCTAGCTTAACGATTAGGATATTTAGCGGAAACAATCTATCTCCTTTATAAAAGTTAAATAAAAGGATGCTAAAAGAAATCAGTAATCAATACTGCATTTTTATTAATTACAGAAATCAAAAGAAACAAGCAAGCTAGTAAAAAGACCTCAATATTATTTATAGATATAAAGAGAGTATTCGATTATATTTCGAGAAATCGACTATTAGATATTTATAAGAAGCTAAAACTGCCCACAAATCTGATAGCCTGAATAGCCTCATTTCTTCAATAAAGATAATTGAAATTATCTTTTAATAATCAAATCGAATCTTTTAAACAATTTCGATCAGAATACTACAAGGCAGCCCGATTTTTCCAATTCTCTTCCTTATATATATCAAGGAGCTCTTTTTACCCAATTCAATTAAATTTCTTTCCTATATAAATGATATTGCTTTAATCATATATTCATTTATATAAAAAAAGAATATCAAAACTCTAAAAAGAGTTACAAAACAAATCTATGAACTTAGTTCTAGAAATACAATCCAATTCGATTTAGCAAAAATAAAGCTAATACACTTTTTATTATTCAAATTAACAAAAAAATATCCAATCATGCTATCCAATTCGGAAATAATTATACCCCAATCTCTTATTAGATGGCTAGGAATATAGTTCGACCCGAACCTCAAATTCGATCAACATGTTAATATTCGAATCATATAAGCGAAAGGTGCCTTTCATCGAATGGCTCAATTAGTTAATACCGAAAAGGGCCTTAATCCTAAAGCTTTTAGACAATTATATATAGTATGTGTAATTAGTATAGCTGATTACGGATTAGTGATTTAGTGAAAAGGTTAAACTCATTTCAAGAATATGATGTAATTGCTTCAAAACCTAGTTTTTCGAAAGATATTAGAAGTCTTCAAAACAGTCCCAATCCTTTCAATAAAAATAGAAGTAGGTCTAAAGCCTCCAAAAATTCGATTAGATTCAAATATTAAACAATATATATTTTGTTTAACTAAACTCTCATCAAATCATTTAATCAATATCGAAAAAGAAATATCAGCTCAATATCAAATCGATTTGGAAGTAATTCTTATTCTTTAAAGAAAACAATATAAATCAATCTAACTTAATAGAATTAGAGGATCAATAAATCAGGATCTCAATCCTATTTTATTTAAAAAGATTATTTACTTCAACTTCCCCCTATGGAAAAAGGAAATTCCCTTCAGAGTTAATATTAGCAATTTATCAAAAGAAGATACTACTATTCTTCACAATATCATTTTCAATTATAGAGATAAGAATACTATCTATATTTATACTGATGCCTTTTCTACTGAAAAAGGAATAGGTATAGGTATAGGTATAATTGTAATACAATTAAACAATCGAATTTCATATCAATAACAATTGAATATTGGTAGTAATCAACTAGTGTATAATGGAGAGCTTTACAGGATTATTAGAGCTATTGAATATACTAGCACAATTGCCTATATTAACAACAAATTCAAGATATATTCGAATAACCAAACTGATCTATATTGCTTAAAAACACCATCAGACCATTCTGAATAGGCCTATCAGATTCGAGCAATCAAAGTAGCAGAAATCATCAAAGCAAAAGGAGCTGAAGTATCTCTAAATTGAGTTTCAGGATATACTTTAGTAAAAGGAAATGAGCTAGTAGATAAATTAGTAAAGGAAATAATTATAATATGTTCTATTTCAAACGAAACAAGTTTTGGACTTCTAGGTATAATGATTAAAGAGTATGATTCAGATCAATAACTTTTTATTTTCAATTAATACAAACTCAGATCAAATCAATTCTTTTTGATCTATTCAAAATTATTTTCATAAAAGATAGGGTTGAAGATTAAGCTACTAAGTGAAACCAAGCGAAATACTGCTAGTGTATATTTTCAATTCAAATTAGGTTATGGATATATCAAATCTTATTTATATCGATTCAAACTCTTTGATAATAAATGTATATGTGGTAATATTGAGGTTTCACAATACCTCCTTATTAGTTGTTTTATATATAAAGTAGAGAGAAAAGAAATATTTAAGAATATATTATTATTTAAGATTACTATATAATTCCTATTCTATATAAAAATAAATATTGAATTAGTTATTAAATTTATCAATATTATCAAAATCGCTATAAGAGTATGGCACCTAGCCAGGGCTTTTATATAAGATGAGATAAAAAAAGAAATAGTAATAGAAAAGGAGAAAGGAGAAAAGAATAAAGAAGAAGTAATTAGGAAAATAAGAAAGGGCTTTGATTTCCTTACAATTTCTTGATTTTCACAATTTTCTTATTATATGTAATGCGTATAATGAGCGGGCACTGTTCCCCAGCATTTGTTTTTACTTCTCTAAATCGTATATATCCATTTTTGTAGAATAAAAAGTTATTCGTTAGAGCCTCTAGAGGCCTAGCCGTTCTATATAGTCTTAGACTGAAGGTGGACGTAAATGAAATCAAAAAAATCAAGTACAATGTGGCCAAGGAGCCAAGGCGCAAGTTGTTATCAACTATGCAATCTCTCAAATGGTCCTGGATATCTTTTCAGACCTCATCAGTAAGAAAAATATTCTAACCACATACTCCAAGTACTAAGTTTTCAGTTCTCGTAATCCCTGTCCGCTTGATTTGGCAAATCAAAATTCGCTGGACACAGAAGATTGCCCTCGGCTTCTCACTCTGCCTCACCATTGGCATGATTGTTCTGACCGTTATTCGTGTCTCTGGCCTTCATGTCGAGTCTACCTTTGATAGTGCATGGGAAGTTTACTGGCTTATTGTCGCTGGCGAAGTCGGTCTGATTCTGACCACCGGCACTGCCTTCCGTGCTTTGTTTATCTCTCGCAACCAGAAAGTAATGGGACCCCAGCCCCCTTCCGACAGCAGCAAGATTTTCAGTAGAACAAAAGAATTATTGCGGCTGATTGCAACTCCCAAGAAGTGGCGAACGAGACGCGCTAGCGAGACGAGCGGTGCTATTGATTCCGCAGGTGCACATCATGAAATGCATGGGATGATGGCACTGCCAGGAATCGAGAGAGGTACAATAACGGGTATCAGAACCTTCATCAACGGAAGGAGCAGCGCATTGAGGGTGGGCCAAGTCATCAAAAGTCCTGTGGAACAGGAGGAAGACGGATGGCCTTTAAGTGAACAACAGCAGAGCATCAAGGTCCAACATGAGATTTGGACCATGAGTGAAAGGGTAAATAAGAATTCCTCGAACTTATGACTAGTGGTTAATGAGAAATAGGCTGGAATGCAAGGGTCACATCCACCCGTGACGGATCGTGATATGGTTTAAATTTAGTTAGGTGTGTGAGGAAGTGATCAGCGAGATTCAAAATGAAAAATATAGAAAGCAGAAATTTTTTGATTCCGTTTAGTAGCATATTTGGAGGTGATCTTCTAGATACTCATGCTACTTCACGTTAGTCTTTTTGTTGTCGTATACATAGCAAAGTTAGAAATGAGAACCACATTAAGAAGGTCTCCACGAATTTTGCCTTGAGCTGCATTCAACTTCGGCGTAATATTCAAGGGTTTTAGTCAATTTTCACTTATTAGGTCAACCATGAAGATACTTCAATGCTGGAGCGATGACATGACATCTCAACTTTAAGTTATTCTATTTTGACCGACTTGATCAAGTTTATAATTTTCTATCAAAACACTCGTAGTAAAAATCAGCCTAACCTCCCCCCCCGTAGACTCATAATCTAGTACACAAATAGTAAGCGACAGTAGCATGATTCCTCAAGTATCTTCCATGCGAATCTTTCTACCCATTTAACGTTCCCTTCTTTTAATTCTAAAAGGTATCCTGTTCTTTGGGGCTTGTGTGCCAAAACCATAAAATGCCATACTATGTTTGAAATGCTTTTCCTTTGTCAAGAGCTCAATGTCATATTGTTGCACAATTCTTGCAAAAACTGCAATGATCTCACGTTTAGCCAAGAAGCGCCCCGGGCAAGTTCTTTCTCCCACGCCGTACCCGATGAAAGAATTCCGCATAACGGACTCGCAATAGATGGGCTTCGAGGAAGTTTTTGGACGGGAAGATGACATGAATTGTGAAACGCCTTTAGATGACGGTGTTGTGATCATAGGTCCACTTGTAGCGTCCTCTGGGTATAGTAAAAACCGATCCGCCCAGAATGTATTCAGTGGAAATTCGCCATTTCTCGTATTCCATACTTTTGCATCATGATGTGCCGGGCCACAAGGTACCAGAATAGGAGTCTTTTTAGGAAAAATCCACTGATTTACATACACCGGTGAATGATGGCTATAAAGAACGTGTTGAACTTCTACATGCAGGCGAATAACTTCTGCATAAATCGATTGTAACAGCGGAATCTGAATTAGTTTATGAATAAACTGGGGGGATGCAAGAGATTCAGAATCAAAAGAAGCGTCGTGTAGTTCTTTCCGAACATGGGAAAGCAAAGCTGGGTCTTTGAATATTTCTATGACAGCCCATATTGCTGCCTTGTGAACATTGATACTTGCGCTGATGAGATAGTCAGTTATGCCTATTATTGAAGGGAATGTAGAAGTGACCTACCCCCATAAAAGACCAAAATCCGATACAGCCATCGAATCATAGTCCCAATTATCTACCTTGGATAGACATTCCTGTCGTTCTCGTATGCATCGTGAGCCCCACCAAGGATCAGCATCACCATCAGCATCAACATAATGATCTTTGAACTGGGATCTTGCAATACTGTGCCATGTTTTCACGGTGGTAACAAGCTTTTTGCGAAGCTTATAAGCCCTTGGGATCAACCAGGGAGGGAACGATTTCACAAGTTGATTAGCATATGGAAGGAACTCGAGAAATTCTTCAGTGAAATCGGGATTTATAGCTTCAAGGAGTGGACCTGCTATGGCCTTGTTCATCGACGCTATCAATGGCAACTCCCAAAATTTCATGATATCAGTATGCTCAGACCATTCTTGACTAATTACAAGAGCTTGAATTTTGCAGGAGAACTCTAGTGACCATCGTCTATAGAGTCCAGGAAGTCCATCTCCCGTTAGTAATCGCAGAAACCCAACATGAGTGATATAGTCGACACGATTATGGGTTTCTATCTTGCTTTGTGGGTGAGGCTTTGCATCGAGGCCCGATTCATCCAAAACATAAGTTTGTACAGCTTTTGAGCTCATTCCAAATATTTTGTTTAAGACCAAAACTTGATGAACTGGCGCTGTGATTGTTTCTTTGATTTTCCAGAGAGCTGAGATCATCTCAGGGCCTTGGATGAAGAATATTTTGTACCCAAATATCTTGGCCCCATAGACAGTTTGGTTGCTTAGACACATGAGTGAGTATGCTAATTTTGATGAAGGAGTTATTGAACTTACTTCAACCCATGGAAGAACTTTCGAATGTTAATGATCGAGTCAACTATTCGCCCGAAGAATGGAATCATGTAAGGAACAGTAGGAGGCTCTCTAGCAGGACTAGTATCCGAGCACTGAGCTACGAATGACTGCCATGTTTTCAAATAGCAGGCCAAGAAAGGAATTGAAAAAATACTGAGGTATAAAAGTATCTGATATGTTGAAGGGGACTGGGTCAAAGACACCAGAAAAAGGTAAGCATTAGATGATCTTGACAGCCAAGTCGGAGTGTTCAAGGAGGATAGCAAAGATAGAGATGACGAAGGGACCTGAAGAATACCCGAAATGTCTTGAACCGGCGAGAACAGATTTAGCACGTTTCTAACGGCATTAGAAATCATGATGAAGCGTAGACTGAAGAATGACTTGGCTATAACAGAGGGAATGATGCTCCAATATATACACAGAAAACTGAACATACCCAGGCACTTAAATCATCAAGACAGGAGTACATATAAAAACTCGACAAGGCTGTACCAAAGGCTCGCGCTGGTAAGCTTACACCTGTGCACTTGTTGCAGGTGCATGATTTCACACTTGAACCAGCCTAAACGCAGGAGAGTGGCTAAATCAAGGCATGGAATCGAAATAAGCCTACAGGAGCTACCTTTCGTGAAGAATTGTTAACCGAATCTGAAGAGGGTTTGCCACTTGGTTATTTATTTGTTGGATGGAACAATTATTACTTATTCAAGTTAGAGCATTTAATTAAATTTGGGTTACACAAGGGACCTCGGTAGTGCTGGGATAAATGGGATAACTGCATATATGACAGGACTACCTGTTAGATTCACCCTGCGAAATAATTTGTCTTTCTCTTTTGGTGAAACCTACCGCCAGTTAGGACCAATCGTCGGCCTGTGGGATTGCTTTGCTTACCTAGGAATACTGAAGCAACTTTGAATTTTCCACATTTCAATACTCACGCAAACACTTCGAGATGGAAGACAAAGTACAAAACCGTGAAGGAAATGATCTTTCGAACCCCGATGGCTCGTTGAGCATTTCTAGGGACAATCTTTTTCAAGAGACTGATCTTAATCCATCCGAAAAAAGAAATGCCCCTACAAAATCAGCCATTCCCAACGGTTCAGACAAGGTGAGCTTAAGGTCTGATGATATGATAGAGAGCTTCAACTACAGAGACTGGCTTCTGGAAAAGTATCAAAACCCAGAAAGATGTCGAAAGATGACAATTAGCGTATCCTTCCAGAATCTTAACGTCTATGGATTCAACACTCCGACGGACTACCAGAAAACCGTTTCGAATTATGTTTTTGTGGTTTATAACAAAGTCCTCCGTTTTTTTGGCCATAAGGAAGAAATGCGAGTCAACATTCTCAGAGACTTCGAGGGTTTAGTTCGTAGTGGAGAGATGCTCATGGTGCTTGGAAAACCGGGTAGTGGCTGCACGACCTTGCTCAAGACAATTGCGGGACAGACTCATGGCCTATTTGTGGACTCTGCATCGCAATTAAACTATCAAGGTACATCTGAATATAGAATATCAGGGTTGAAATCTAATCGTGACTAGGAATTCCGAGCAATGTGATACATTCCGAATTTCGAGGCGAATGCAACTATAGAGCAGAATCTGATGTTCACTTTCCACATCTGACTGTCTCACAAACCTTGGCCGTACCTACACGGGCCAGAACACCGGCAAATTCTCTGTTCCATGGCTCTGACCCACGAGCATCTACCAAACGAACTATCATGGCTACAGCCGCTGCTCTAGGCCTTACTGGTACGCTGGACTCTAAAATTGGCAATGACTTTATACAAGGACTCAGTGGAGGAGAGCGTCAAAGAACAAGCATTGCTGAAGTTGTTGCATGCGAAACATCGATTCAATGTTGGGACAATAGCACGCGCGGTCTGGATAGCTCAAATGCGCTCAACTTTGTCAAGGTTCTTCGTACAGCAGCTCAAGTGACAGGATCAACTCATCTTGTTACTATGTATCAGGCTGCACAGGATGTTTACAACTTGTTTGATAAAGTGATACTTCTTTATGAAGGCCGTCAGATATACTTCGGTCGTACCGATGCCGCGAAGGAATACTTCGCTCATCTCGGGTTTGTTTGTCCCACGCGAGCTACAACTAGCGACTTTCTAGCTTCTCTCACCAATTCTGTTGAAAGGATGCAACTCATAAGCCAAGGCTTTGAAGCGAAAGTTCCGCAAACTCCAGACGATTTTGCACGAGCCTGGAAGGGAAGTGATGAACGAGTAAAGCTCATGGAAGATATCATGGTCTACAATCAAGAATTTCCTATGAACGAGGAAAATCTCAATAGACTACGGGCTGACCAGAAACTGTATAAGGCTGCCGGGCAGCGAGAAAAGTCTCCTTATATCATTTCGTTCTTTTCCCAGGTTATCATGTGCCTAAATCGATGTTTTCAGAGATTGATCAACGATATTGCACCTCCTATCTCGAGCATTGGCGGCAATGCAATCATCTCAATCATTTTGGGTAGTATGTTTTACAACTTAGCTGAAGATACCAGTAGCTTTTATGGACGCGGCGTTCTGATCTTCTTCACTGTTCTAACCAACACTTTTCTTGGTGCGTTCGAGGGCGTCGTGTTGTGGGATCAACGGCCGATTGTCGAAAAGCATTTCCAATATGCATTATATCATCCCGCTGCGGAAGCTATCGCCTCAATGATTGCCGATCTTCCAAACAAAATACTGTTGACAATATCTTTCAACGTGCCGTTTTACTTTTTGGCAAATTTGCGACGAACTCCGGCAGCATTCTTGACATTCTTTGTATTTGCATTTTGCAGCCTTCTAACTGGTTCAATGTTATTTAGAACTATAGGAGCAATGTCAAAAACCTTGACTGGATCGATTGCACCAGGAGCGTGCTTTATCTTGTTATTAATGACATACACAGGATTTGTGCTACCAATTTCTAGCATGCATCCTTGGTTTCGATGGTTTAATTATATTGATCCAGTCTACTATACCTTTGAAAGCTTGATGATCAACGAATTCTCTGGTCGTCAATTTTCTTGTGCCCATTTCATTCCGGAAGGACCTGAATATACTCAGGTTCATCGTAATGGGAGGCAATGTTCAACAGTAGGCGCGACTCCCGGAGCAAGTGTTGTTGATGGAGATGCTTATCTTGCTAGCGCATTTCAGATGGACACAGCCGTTTTATGGAGGAATCTTGCGATCATACTAGCATTCGGTGTTTTTCTTTGTGGACTGTACCTCTTAGCTACTGAGTATATTTCTGCCGCGCGATCCAAGGGTGAAGTTCTGATTTTAGACGTGGACAATTGCCCAATCAGATCTCACATAGAGATGAAGAAGACCCACCCTCGCACAATACTCAAAACAACCCACATACTACTTTAACAGTCGTTAGAGACGATATCGATGCTGACCATAATAATAATAATAATAATAATAATAATAATAATAACAATAATGACAACAAACACGCTGCAACATTTATATGGGATGAACTCTCCTATGATGTGCATACTCATGGGACATCAAAACAGATCCTTGATGATATCGAAGGATGGATCAAACCTGGAACACTGACAGCTTTGATGGGTCCATCAGGTGCAGGAAAGACCAGTCTCTTAAACGTTCTAGCAAACCGAACAACAACGGGGGTCATTCGAGGAGGAAAATATGTCGATGCTAAGTATCAAGATGATGGTTTTGCACGCAAGGTGGGCTATGCTCAGCAGCAAGATTTACATCTCTCAACGTCAACTGTTCGGGAGGCCCTGATATTCAGCGCACGACTGCGTCAGTCAAAAATGTACTCGGACAAGGAGAAGATAGAATGGGTTGATGATCTGATTCATACCCTAGACATGTCAAGTTTTGCTGAAGCTATAATTGGGGTGCCAGGAGAGGGTTTGAATGTCGAGCAAAGAAAGCGTGTAACTATAGGAGTTGAGCTTGCTGCTAAACCCGAGCTTCTTCTTTTTCTAGGTAAGCTTTCTAGGATAATCATTGGCCTACTAATTCATAGAAGACTAATTGTCTTTAGATGAACCTACATCTGGTCTCGATAGCAATACTGCCTGGTCTATCTGTACCTTGTTGAAAAAGCTGGCCAATGAAGGCCAAGCAATTCTGTGTACCATTCATCAACCATCCGGAATACTCTTTGAGATGTTCGATCGACTTCTCTTTCTCCACGAAGGAAAATCTGCATATTTTGGGGAACTTGGACAGAGTTCACGAACCTTGATTGATTACTTTCAACGGCATGGATCTCGAGAATGTGGAGTTGACGAAAATCCCGCGGAGTGGTTACTCGAAGTTGTCGACAAGTCAGCTGTCTCTTGGACCGATATCTGGAGCACTTCCGAGGAAAGAAAACTCATCAAGAAAGATCTGGTTACAATGAAGCGTGAACTTTCCTATTCGCATGATTTGGCTAATGAATCTTCGTCGAACGAATTTGCGACATCTTTCCTCTACCAATTGTATATTGTAACTAAAAGAAACTTTGAGCTTGACTGGCGAACTCCAGCCTACGTATATTCCAAGTTCTTTCTAACTCTTGGAGCAGTAAGTGTCAATCTATTGTGATACCTCCATCGCTAACAAGATTTAGGGACTCATCAATGGATTCTCATTCTACAACTCAAAGACCAGTATCCAAGGAGTCCAGAACCAAATCTTCTCCACCTTCCTCCTTCTCACCCTTCACGGAAATCTCGTACAACTGACCCTACCCCACTTCATGGATAGTCGCACCCTCTACGAAGCACGCGAACGCTCCTCACGAACTTACTCCTGGATCGTATTCGTCCTATCAAACATAATCGCTGAGCTCCCCGGTATATTTTTTCTCGCCGCCATCCAGTTTGTATCGTGGTACTATCCAATTGGAATGTACCGGTATGCTCTCGCGACTAGCTCTCTGAGCTCGCGGGGAATACTAATGTATCTCGTCAACGTATCATTTTTCCTCTTCTCCTCCACCTTTTCGCAAATGCTGGGCACCATCATGCCAGATCCTGCCACCGGCGTTAATATCTCTGCACTTCTCTACACCTTGTCCCTGATCTTTGCGGGTACGTATACCACATCCCTTAAACTCCCACCCTCATCAAACAAACAACAGCACTGACGAAAAACCCCAAACCAGAATCTTAGTCCCAATCACCTCCCTCCCCAAATTCTGGACCTTCATGTACCGCAGCACCCCCGTCACCTACCTCGCTTCCTCCCTCCTCTCCACCGGCATCTCAGGTGTCAACATCACCTGCGCCCCCAATGAACTCCTCCACATTATCCCTCCCTCCCCTCTCACCTGCGCCCAATATCTCTCATCCTATCTACAGACCTCAGCCGCACATCTACTCAGCCCTGAAAGTCTCACCGTCTGCGATATTTGTCCGGTAGGAAACACAAATACGTTGTTAGCAAGCGTGGGCGTGTACTATGAGCATCGCTGGAGGGATCTGGCAATTTCGTTGGTGTATAGCGCGGTGAATGTGGGGGGCGCGTTGGGGCTTTATTGGATGGTGAGGGTGCCGAGGAAATTGGGGATGGAGAGGAAGGTGTGAGGATGAGGTGGAGATTCATTACTTATTACTTAGTAGATAGATACATAGATGGCTAGTTCATCACTGGAATTTTTGGTTTCGGGTTTCGACGAGAATGGTTTGGGTAGATATATTATGATGATAAATAATAAGATAATATTTCTTTTCTCTTATAGGTCATTTGATCTATCTTCTCACTTCCTCATATTCGGAATCAATGAAATGAAATGAAATGGAATTCATGACTCGATTTAACGACGCTATATATATACGTAATCTTACATATGTATGTATATATTTACCATCTACTACCTACAGATTTTTAATCAAATCAAATCAAATCAATTCAATCTACTCACTCTACTCACTCTACTCACTCTATTCAATTTACCCAATCTAACCCAATCCACTCAATCCAATCTATAATATAAAACAAAACAAGAAACCTAAGAATAAATCACTTTGACTTTTTATAATTTTCTTGGAAGAGAGGGGAGGGAGAAGAGGGGAGGGGAAGGGGTAATAATAATTATCGCATGAATTGAATTATCGTATGAATAACCTTATTATCGTTTCGTATTGTAGTAAACTAATTATTGATATTGGATGTTAGACATTGAATGTCGTAGTGAACTTAAAATGGATGAATGAAGTGAAGTGAGGAAGTATATATAAATATCTAGATAGGTAGGTAGGTAGGTAGGTAGGTAGGTAAGATGGACAATGGAAAACTAGATGGATAGAGTGCACGTGATGGTGTGGGCAAGGAGGAGGAGGAGTTGATTTATCTTGGGAATTTGATATTTTGGTAGTCTGGGAGGGGAGGGGAGGGGAAGGTGGGAGATTGGGGGTTTTGGTGATTTATGATTTGTGGTGGGGGAATCGATGGATGGATGGATGGATGGATGGATGGATGGATGGATGGATGGATGGATGGATGGATGGATGGATGGATGGATGGATGGGTATTGGGTTTGTGATGTTGGGTGAGGAGGAGGTGGAGGAGGAGGAGATTGAAGAGATTGAAGAGATTGATACATTACTAATGTTAATAATATTAACACAATACCTAACCTTATTAGATGCCAGGATTCTAATGAGATAATCTAACCTTACCTACCTACCTACCCTCCTGCCTACCCTCCTACCCAGTTAAGCGATATTCTTCGAGGGATAGATAGACGGGAGGGGTCAATATTATTTGAAGAAGGATGAGGGAGGGGTAAGTACTGATAAATGTCAGAATAAGAGACAGGAGGGGCCAGGAGGAGAGTAATAAATGGTCGTGTTTGGAAAACGTGAGGGGTAGGTAAGTACTGGTAGGAATATCGGAATAAGAATCAGAGATCGAAAGGAGGATCTTTATTTTTGGTAATGTGATGTGTGGTGTGGTGTGTGTGGTGGGAATCTGATACTGGTATGGTATGGTATGGTATGCTAAGGTATGGTAAGATGTCAAGATAAGATATAACCTTATGTAGGTATGATAAGATAACGGAGTTTGTGGTGCGATGCGATGTGATGAGAGGAGATAAGAGGGAGGGGGAGGGAGGGGAGCGGGATAGGGATATGATATGATATGATGTGATATTATATCATGTAATATGATGTGATTATATGTGATTGTGTAGAAATGGATTGATACATAGAGTCTGAAGAGTGTATAGGTATGATATATGCTCATCTGATTTTAATGTAACAGGGTGTTGTATAACTCGTTTTATATAATGATGGGTTAGGTAGATTTGGACCGTAAGCCACGATGTGGAAGAATACGGTAGTGAGTCGGATTGACGAGGAAGGAGGGAGCGCAGGAGTTGGAGAATGTGTATTGGATTGTGTTGTATGGGAGTGAATTAATTGTACTAACGGTATCAAACTCATGTAAGGATATCAAAACACAAGGAAAGCCGACTTGCAATTTCAATTTCAATTGCAGAAAGGAGAACAGGCATAGGAACCGGCAACACCGAGTGGTATGATTTTCCTTACCTACCGAGCCTACCTAACTATCTTACACTTGAAGTATATCGTATGTGTGTTATGTATCAGTCGATTTGCACGTACCAGTAAGCCACTCCATATGCCATCTGTAAGTACCAGGTAGATATGTACCCATCCCTATCCATCTGTACTCGGTTACCCGTAAGAGTATACCGGTGAGTAGAGTAGGGAGGCTGTCGATGTCGCAGCTCCGTTCAGGGTTGAAACCTGGTGAACTGAAGGGAGTGGGAATCTCGTCATGGATGTGATGGATGTTACAGGTTATATCTATACCTACCTAGTCATGAGGAATGAGTAATGTATTACGGAGGACTGAAAAGTGGGAATGTGAATGAATGAATGGAGGAATGAAATTCAATGAATGGATAGATGATTGACTGAATGAAGTGTTTCCGCATTGCATATATCGGTAGATGGAGTGGGAGGATTCCCGCCCATCCATTCGTCGCTCCATCATCTCTTCATCCAATCCACACAAAGATGAAGACTCCACCGAAACTCCATACCGCGTACGCAAACCGAACAGAGAACGCCGATGGAGAATTCCATGCATAATACCTATGTACGTGTGTGTTGTTTCTCGACCGATTGACCACAAACTCAAAAAGGCAGGTCTAGAATTGGGACTTTTAACTGGGACAAGTCGATGGACTCGTCAGAAAACGTTAACGGGGAACTGGCAGACTGGAGGAGGAGGAGAGGAAATGTGGGGCACGGATGAGGAGAGGCTTCTAGATCTTTGGGGGGGTTTCTATGCAGAGAGGTGGAATCGATGAAGTCTGAAGTCTGAAGTCTGAAGTCTAAAGTCGATGAAGTCTGCGGAATGAATGCAGAATGAATGCAGAATGCCGTTTGACGTGTTACGTGGAGTAGGAGGGAGTGGGAGGGGAACGGCCTGGTACGTACCGGTGCCGGTAGGTTAGGTTTCTTTTCTTTCTTTTGTTTCTTTTGGAGAATGAATGTGATGGTTTTGATAATGATGATGATATTGATGATGATGATGATGTAGATGATCGTAGAGTTTATTCAATCTTTATGAGAGGATATATTAAAGTTTCCAAGGTTAAGGTTATCAAAGAGGCATAAATACCTGAGTAAGTGAACCAACATTTTCATAATATTTCTTTTTCCCCAATCCCCTAACTATTACGAGTAGATGTACAATTTCCAAGGTTATTTTTGTCATCATCATCATCATCTCACTAGATCCTTATCAAAGTTTGAGAATCTTCCAGAGATTCCACATATCCTACATATTCCACATCCAGCCTAATGACCCGGTGGCGAAGGGGGTTCGTAAGAACTGGTGTCATCAAAGCGTAATCACTCACTCTGTTCTGTCCTTCGCATGTCAATCATTTCATCACACTTTGCATCGTATCATCTTCAATGCTTCGTTTTTGACTAGGTAGAGTAGTTGGTGCAGGGGGATTGATTGATTGATTGAGTGATTCTGTTTTCGTATTTTCCGAGGTCGTTGTCGGTACCTTTTTTTGTACATGGAATAATAGCTAGGCAATTGGATGGGAAGATTCGAGGAGAATTTATCCAATTGTTGGGCGTGATTCGTTCTGCAGGTACGTTTTTATGCAGAGTACCTACATTTGGGAATATGTATAGAATAATAGATGGTACAGACAGAAGAATGGAAGAACGGAAGAACAGTCAGACAGACAGAAGAAGAAAAGAACAGTCAGTCAGATGGATAGACAGATAGATAGACAGATAGATAGACAGATAGATAGACAGATAGATAGACAGATAGACAGACAAACACAATCCATCTAAAAAGTTTATTATATGTTACCCCAGGAAACGATTCACAATGTGTCATGCGTACGGTCTTCAAAGTTTGACCTTCTCCAGACCTCCAGACAATTTCTGTAACATGATTTTCGGTTATGTTCTTGGAGAAAGTGCGAGACTGCTTGATTACACATATTGTATGGATCTAGATACATACTTGGTAGATACATATTTAGTAGATTCATAACTTATCTAATCTATATCCAATATATTGATGCTAAATTGATGTTACAATTTTATTGATTATCAACTATCAATTATTGCATTCTTTTACTCATACTATGTGACTATGTAGATAGATAGATATTCACATTACATTCACTGAAGCTTGTATGGAGTATATCGTATGCATTAACATCAAAACCCTTACACAATACAAATGGGCCCCCTTGTTCATCAAATTCCATCCCCTTGCCATTCCAATATGCCTTGATCATTTTATTCACACTGGCCCCTCTTCATCTTCCCGATAAACATTCAATACTTTAATTCTCCATCCGAGTCTGAGCCCGTATACGTATTGCCCATTCATGAGTTCTATTTCTAGATATTTCCATCGCTCCCTCACACAAACCCGTCGAAATAGCCCAAAGTGCCAAGTTATTTCACTTCCTTACTCCGTACACAGTGGAGTGGAGAAAAAGGATAAAAGCATCTAACCTGATCCCGGCCATTCTCAATCAATATCAGGATTTCCCTTTCATGTGGATCCGTATCGCATTACATTGCATAACAGAACGGAGCTCCATGCGTGTATCAGAAAGACTACCTAGGTAGGTCGCATAATTAGTGCAGACCATATTGGATACGTCCCTTGGAGACCATCTCGCCCTTTCACTTAAGAACTGGAGCATCTGCTGTTCCACGTCGTCGTGTTCTTTTTCATCTTTGCATCAGTCTTGAAGTTTAGTGAAAGGTCGAGATCTATCTTTGAAAAAGAGTTATCCACTTGAGAAAGTTATTCGTCACTCGTTGTTATATCTAAAAGGCTGTGCCCGGGATATATTTATCTATCTATCTATCAGTCTTTTATCATTTAAGATTTTTATATCTATCCATCAATTACATTACCAACTACTACTTTCGTTATTAAAGATCACTCGAAAGTAATATTATATCTACCTATCTATCCTAATACCTTCTTCGTCTTCTCGATATACAAGTCATATACTCGACTCGACTCAACTATCAACCAATCATATCACATTACA